AAGAGATGAAAGCCGGTGTCTGTAAGCCGGAGACCACTGACAACGCACTGCTCGGCAAACTCGCCGACTGTAAGAAGAATTTCTATAACATTCCCGCCGACAAAATGGCTGAACACGAGGCCAAAGTGAGTTATGATGTGTTTGATTAATCTTAGTTGACAATTGTCCAATAAATATCATATTTAGAGATATATTTAACAAGTAGCTATGTGAGAATATCTTTTAAAATACTTTATAGCTATGTTCAAATGCTTAGCTAGATGGTTTTATAAGTCTTATTTACAATTGTACCTGTACAGTATACTGAGATGATGAAGGATTGCGTAAAAGACGACGAATTGAAAGCGTACACCAAGGTCGATTTGACCAACAAGATCAACAAGTTCGTTTTGATGAGTTGGTGTGGGGAGGGCTTCCAGAAATGTATGCACGAGAAGTGGCAAAAGGCTAAGGAGGCTAAGACCGAGGAAAAGGCTGACCCTGATCAAAAACACCACCCAACCGCTGAACAAAAGACTACATTCCAGGTCATTTATTTTAGTTTACTTATTAGCACCCTGTTCAAACCTATTATAAATCAATTATATTTTTAAAAATCATATTAACATTATATTCTTTTACTATTTGCAGACCTGCCTCAAGAATGCCATTAAAGTCTAAATAAATTTTTAATTATTTAAATTCAAAGACCATTTTTAAATTTCAATAAACATTAAAACCCTATAATTAAAATGCTAATATTATTTATAATTTTTTTACTAAAAGTTATAATTATATAAATTATTAAACATTTTTATAAAAATATAAATTATCTAAAACATGTTTTCTAAACTATTATTTTTATTCCATAATAATTTACTAATAAATGTGATTCCGCAAAATTATATAATTATTTTGCTACAATACTATTGTTATATTGTAGTAACTTATTTTTACTGATTCTATTCTGGAAAATTAAATTAATATTTAAATATAATTATTTTTAAAATATAATTTTGTTTATTTGTGGAAATCTACGATAACAAAGAATTTTTAATTTAAAAATTATTGATATTTCCCTTAAAAATCTAAAATATTTTATATTAACTCATAAAAGTTTTTAAAATTAATTTTTATTAGATTCTTTTGATTAAAAATGACTAAAAATTATAACTTGTATTGATTGTGAATGGCTAGTGCTATATTTTTAAGTTCAAAATTAATTTTTTAAAAATTAAGATTTATATTCTAACATAATTTTGTCATTCAATATTATGCATTTACTGTATTATCACAATCCATTTTAATTAATAATTAACAAAATTTAAGTAATATTAACACTATTAGCTTTGAAACACTATTATAAAACTCATTAATTTTCTTATTCCTTTTTAATATAATGTAATTATAACACTATAATAGTATAACACTATTATAATTACATTATATTAAAAAATAATAAGAAAATTAATGAGTTTTATATGTGCTCACATGTTATTTCTAATGTTTAAACTTTTAAATTCAAATTCAAAAACAATTTATAATGAAAGTTTGTGATAACGGTTTATTATAAACAGGTTACCAATACCAATATTATTAGAGAATCATAAGTAGCAATTATTTGTATCTTTATATTATAATTGAAAGATATGAGCAAGTTCATAATCTGCGCGTTTCTAGCGGCCATAGGCTACCAGTGCTATCTGGCCGACGAGAGTCCTCGCGAGGCGATCAAGAAGTTTCACAACGAAGTACGGGTCGAGGTGTGTAATCCGGATACTTTAGACAACTCCATTATAGGCAAACTGTCGGACTGTATGCAGACATTCTTTCAAATTGAACAAATGGCCGATCATGTGGACATGGTACTTTTACATTACATTTTAAAATATTCTGCAACCTAATTATTGATGAATATAATTCACATGCTAAATAGTACATAGAATTGGTTAAAGATTGTATCACGACAGATGATTTGAAACCATACACCAAGGTCAATGTAACCACTAATTTGAACAAGCTAGTTCTATCGAGTTGGTGTTCCCGAGGGTTCGTAAAGTGTATTCATCAGAAGTTTCAAAAGGCTAAACAGGATCAGACCGAGGATCAGGTGGACCCTGACTTCTATAAGAAAGTCAATGGTGAACAGGTGGCTGAGTTCAAGGTAATTCATGTTTTAGTTTTAAAATAACGTACAGTACAATAGAAAAAATAAAGTTTAAAATCCTTTATTTTGCTACATTAATGAGTAAATTGTGGATATGGTGCTAATTTGGTATTTTTCTTTTTTGTAGACTTGTCTCAAAAACGCAACTAAAGTCTAAATAATTTTAATTGAGAATAAAACTCTAAAATAAATATTTTATATTAATAAAAATATAAACATTTTTACAATATAATATATTATATTGAGATTATTTGTTTAACACCTTATACAATATCATTATTTAAATAATGAGATAAATACTTTGTAATAATTGTACTAGATAAATTTGGATAGTTTATATGATTTAAATATTTGATATATAAATATATTAAAATTTAGTTAGTTATACTTCATCGATTAAAAGTGTAATTTGTAAATTATTTTCTATGAATTTATTAATTGAAAAATTATAATATTAAATTGCTATAAATGCACTAAAAAAGTAGTGCAAGTAAACGGTGGACTTATTTTGACTTTAAAATGTACTTAAATCTATTCATTTTATTAATTACTATTAACACAGTTGATTTAAAAATCAATATTATATTTAATAGATTAAGTTATCAATGGCATGACTGACAACCATATTTACTCACATGTTGTCTTAAATAATTTACCAATCTAATTATAATTACAATTGAAAAACAGAAAACCTATTATAAATAAAATGTTATATAATAAGCCAACTATTCACTCATTTATATCATTAGT